CATAAGAGTTGATCTGACACTCATTTTTTTCTGTGTGGTTTGCTAAAAGCGAGGGGGAAACCGCTGACCAAAATCTTGTACACCAATGCCTACCAATGCCTAGCGGGCATTACTTTATCTTATTTTATTTTATTTTATCTTTATTATGCCCCAGCAAGGCCTAGTGCCCAAACTATTGCCCAAAAAATGCCTAGTAATGCCCAGCAATGCCGCGAATCTGTAAACCACAATGCCCTCAGCGGTTTCCCCCTCGGCTAAAAGTATTTTGCTGCCATAACTATAAATTGCTAAACCATAGCAAACAGTTTGCCGTCGCACCTAATACAATGGACACAGTGACAAAATATTTAGCTATCACAACTAAATATTAGCTGTCCGTATTTTACAACTGAAATTTAGTTGCCGCATGCAGTTCTTAGCTACGAACAGCTACATTTTTCTTTTCGTGTTCTCTTTTAACATTCAGAGAGTATCCACGTTATTCTCTTTTATGTCTTTTCTACATCTTTTACTCATCCACCCAATAAACATGGCACACCTTGGCATCAAACTGTTTGTTAAATCGTCATCACTGCTTACCAAATATGTGACTTAAACTGTGAAACTGAAAAAACTTGAATAACGGAAACGCCTGCGAAAACAATTACTTTGTCGTCCATTAGACATGCGCGCAGCTGTTCCCAGTTGCCTACTTCCAGGCGCTACGGTAACAATCGAAACACTAGTAGTAAAGAAGCACTTTCGAGACATCTTCGACTGGCATTACTGAGATTTCAATCGTTTGATTTTTCAAAGTAAATAATTGCGTCATTCCTTTATTGCCATTCCGTTCCCATGTCACACGCTCGAGCAAACTAGGCGGCCTCGTTAGCTAAAGAGAATTTCAGAGATTGATTCGTAAATTCGGTGCACAAAGTAAACAGCTCTGGGAAGAATATATGAGTTTGCGACTCGGGCTCGGGGGGATTAAAAAGTCCCGGTATTGCGTAGCGACGGGTAAATATTTCAGAATGCGGTTGTGTGTTCCGTTGAAGGTCCGATTGGCTCGGGCTGCGAATTTATTATTTATCTCCGCGATAGCCGAGAACTCGCCTGGCGCTCAGCGGCTTATTAATTGTACTCTCAACTCGCGCCGCGATTTTCATAATTAACATAATGCATAATTAACGTAATGCTATGCACGCTTCGTCGCTCGATCGTCAAGTACGTACGTTTCTCGGCAAATACCTTACCTCGGCGCCCTCCGTCGCGGAAAGTCGCGGATTCGCGACACCGCGAGGTGTTACGCAAACATTTGTTTTCCTGGCGAAGTGAGTAGGTATTGCCCGAGCGTGAAAGCAACGGGCGCGTAAACAAGGGGCCATCGAAATTGTGCCAGAGCTATTTATGCCTGTCCGCGTATATTTACCCGGGTCAGGTGAAAACTGCGCGCACGTTTCGGCCACTTAATTAAATATTACTCGACAATTCATTTTATTCATACCCGAAATGTCGCGCGGTGACATTAATTTCGCCGGCCTTCGGACAGTTTCGACGGTTAATTATTGGCGCGCCGTACGGTTTAGCGCAATAACATAATTTATACCGCCCGATCGCCGATAATGTCTGGCTCTGCTAAACAAATTGCGAAGAAACCGCGCGGTCGCGCGATTAAAATCAATCACGTCCGAGAGCGCGCCGGTGTTTCGTACATTACTATTTCCTCGCTCTGCATTCAAATATACGGCGCAAAGTTCCGAATTTACATCTTCCGAAACGTAAAACGGTTTCTCTTAGTTTTCTTCAGTGTACACACGTGCGCGCCTTTTGGCTCGTGTTGTTTCGAGTCGCTACCGAGTTGCCAAATCTTACAGCGTTGAACGATAAAGACAACCGCAATCGTATGGAAACTTTTTTTTAGATCTTTCATCAATTTTCTGCCTGGAACGAGGGGTAAACCGCTGATGGCATTGTGGCGTACATAGGCTTTTTGGGCGTCAGTTTAGATATTTGACCTTGCTTTGGGGCTGGCGCAGAGAAATGTGCGCTGCTGAGGCCCGGTTTCACCAACATTAGTAAAATTTTTAATTTTTTTCCCGTTTTTGATATAAAGTCGACCAGCATAGTCTAGATTTTGCTGCGTACTTTAATTCCGTAAAAGAGTTTTGCATTTCTATAAAGCCAATTAAAAGATTACTTCTAACAAAGAATGTCGATAAAACCGACCGCTTTAGGATCCCCTTAAGCTGCGACGAAAGAATGAACGAGTTCCTCTTCTTAAATCGATTTTACGCAACGTGTAAGATTCACAGAAAAAAATATTTCTGTAAATTATTTTACTGCGCGAAAAAAAGGTGCTGTCGCACGTTATTTCAAGGAGGCAGCGAATCTCTCACCGTATTGGCAAACGAGGGACACTGTTTCGGAACGGTAAGATAATGAGCGAACGCGCTAAGCCGCGTCGAATGCAAACGAATTTAAGCGCCTGATGCAATTAGCGCAAAGCAGAAGGGACGCAGCCTCCCGCGCGGGTGCGCGCGGACGTTACCTCTCAAATTGACCGAATTGAGTGCCGGCGCGCGAAGTGCGGGGCGCATTTCCGCGGATAGCACTTGTCGCAGCACGGATCGCGACAAGTAACGCAGCTGCATGTGCATCCGATAGAGTGCCACGCGGAAAGACCGGTTAAAGCGAAAATAATTAAAATTACAATGCCGTATAAATAGTAGGGGCATCTACATTGTTTTGTGTTGCAACATTCACTGAGCTTGCCGCACAAAACGCATATATAGTTGTCTCCGCTACTTATCGTACCAATGTGGGTATGACAACCACATACAGAGTGAGTCGTAAAGGCTGTCCCAACCCTTTACCATAAGAGGTGAATTACCGACCGCAACTGTAGCCAACTCGGGAAAAACTGGATAAAATCTCGTTGCACGCGTCTCAATCATGTAATATCTAATTATTTCTCGAGAAACGTAATTAGACATTACATGATTGAAACATGTAGAATGAGATTTAATCTATTTGTTTCCAAGTTGGCTACAGTTGCGGTCGGTAATTCACCTGTTATGGTAAAAGGTTGGGACAGCCTTTACGACTCACCCTGTATAGCTGTCCCAAATATTACTATTTATTGGGGTTGTGCCAACCCTAATTAGACATGTGGTAACCATATCGGTCTCTCCGTCATGCATGGTGCATCACGATTAATAGTTGTCTGACAATTAGTTCGACTTGACTTCCCGAACGTTTTATCGCCGATCGCGAAGCATTTTGCTCCTGCCGAGTCGCCTCTTGCACCCACGCTTGTTTCTTAATTTGATTTGGCAGTTGCTGCCGTACGCTTGGAAATGAGATCTTCAAACGAAAACATGTTTTCACGCAGGACATAAACATTTTGGAAAAGGCAGCGTTGTTACCTTAACCGTACATTTTTATCGATTGTAACGGGAGAAAGGAATTTTTCGAATTGTCATTTTCAACGAAAACTTGTTTCGCAAGCAGACACGATGAATTAATACCGTTTTGATCTACGCGAAACTGCGAGGAACACGCCGCACTTGATAAATCGCCTGTTCACGTATTTACGAATTAAAGCGTCAAGCACGCAAGGTCGCACATCATATTCCGCGAGAGGTTGAAATACCTTCAGGTTCCCCGGACATAAATTACTTTCCAAGCGTACGCTGCAGTTAACTTTTTCTTCCAATTTAATTATGATTTTAGTTTTTTTTTAAGCTCCCGCGCACGTAGATTGCATGCGTTTTCACCACCTTTGTTTTGGATTGTCTGTTGCATCCCAGGTCCAGGCGAATGTCCCAGGATATCACGAGCTCGAAGTCGACGGAGAACACCTCGGCGATTTATACCAGGTATGCAAAACACATCGTCGTCTTGTCACTTCTCTATCTTCTCTGGACTTCAACAGCGAGAATTAAGTATTATAAATAGTTATGATCTCATTACTGTCGTTGGTGTTTAGAATGTAGTATTGTTGTGCTTCCTATATTAGAAACGCACGTGCAAGATTGTACGTGAAAAGAGCGCGTATAAAGAATGCGAAGAGAGATTTTTAAACAGAATCTCAGGGTTTTCGAAAACGTCGCTTTTTTACCGACACGGTAAGCCTAGCCCGTAAGAAGAAGTGTGTGTAGTAACGCGCCGTGTCTCCCCTTCGATGTGAATCGTAGAAATCTACGTTTCGGAAAAGTCAAAATTGAGGAAATCCCGGAGGAAATGCGGCAGCAACGAGCCGTCGCTACGACATAACGCAAGTTCATTCACCGACTTTTTCCATTCACGGTTCTTCTTTTTGTTTTCGCGCCGCGTTGCACCGCGTTATTCAGGCCCGTTCGCAGGGATCTCATTGGTCTTTATCTTTGTCGGCCACGCGTCCGTGGACGTCTCGACTTATGGAGGCAACCTGCACAGTGCACGGTCCGTTGCATCGCGAAATTGCGTTTTGTTATGGCTAAGCGAGATTGCCTCCACCGAGCTGAGCGTTTTACAAATAGCGCCGCGCCAAACTATTAGTGTCTAACCCGCGTACGTCCCACGGTACCGCGAGGGCAAGTGGACGCGAGCGGGCCCTCCCGGCTCTATTTCCGAATGTGCCGGCGACTTGATTCCATTCCAGGGACGTAAACTTGCAAATAGAAATATCTTTTCATTACTCGATATTCTCGCGCGTATGTCTTCGTTACACCGAGCGTTCGTTATCATTTTCCATTCGCATCTCGAGCCACTCCGACCTTCCTTTCGAACGATCGTCCTTTCCAACAGTTTTGCGATATCGATATTTCGTAGTCTGGAGTGAAAATTGCGGGGAATTAAAAAAAACTTCATTTTTAAAAAAGATGCCGCGGAACGGAGCGCCTGCATCCCGACTCGTTTCATTCTATCTCGTCCGATCTATTTTTGCAGACTTCGCTTTGCTTAATCAAATTTGTTGCGCAACGAGCTCGGGATACAAACGAGGGTGAAGCTAATTAACGACTACGTTTACTCTATTACAGGAGCAAGAGCCGTAGCGTGGATCATGGATTATCACCTCTCCCAGATTTGGAAGCCCTGCGGAACAAGGTCGAAGGACGCTTCGAGTCCGTGGATAAACTCTCCAAAGGTGAGTACACGTTTTTATTAAATAATGGAAAGAGTTGATATCGCGTCAGATATTTTGCGTGAAAATTCGACCGCGTGTCGATCCCGCTCAGTCGCAACCGTCGTTACAGCTCAATCACCTCCAAAAGGACGGCGAGATTAATCTTTTTTTTTTCTTTTCAATTCGTAAATTAATAATTTCCTTTAGACACTCGATAATTCATTCGCATATTAAGCTCGAAATCGACTGAAAACACTCGGACCGTTTATCGCGATTTCGATATTAGGGATTCAATGTTAAGCATCCGCGGCAATTTATCTTTTCACTTTCGAAACGATACGTCATTGTACGACACCTGCCCCCGTCTATCGCGATCGATCCGATCCGCTGCGTCGCGAGCTGTCGAAGATCAATTTAACACGCGATGTCCGCCGATGTCGCGGGCGGATTCACGCACTCGATCATCCGCGGAGCATCCGACGCGGAAGTTCCGGGTGACGTCGGCGACGATGGGCGGGCGAATTGGAGAGGCTGACCATGATGACGGCGCGATCCATACCGTACGAAGGTCCCGGAGACCCGGGTTGTTTCGACGAATCAGCCGCGCGCAACCTTACTCGGGCGAGTTACATTGACTTACTTTCTCAAAGTGGCACAAGTGCCACGTGTGATCGATCGCCCTATCTCGCGCATACTTCGAAACCGACGCGCGCCGTGCACCAATACCAGCGCAGCACGCGAGCTTTAATGAAGACTAATTGACGCGCGGGATTAAGGATAAAGTGGTGTGGTAATTAACGGAGCAGCGTTTCGATAAATGCAACGCAAATCCGCCGCGAGAGATCGATAGGATTACGAAGAAGCGGCGAAACGATCGTATAACACAATATACATTGTCGCCCACGAGCCATCCGGATCTCTTTGTTAGTCGGGACGGATAATTCAGGAAAATATTATCCACATGCACGTTTCGCGTGCATCTTCGCGCACACTTTAATCTTTGAACAGGCCTGGCGGTTGCTTGTAATGAATTTTTCTCTGCCGTCTATACTTCAAATAAATCAATTAAACTCTCGATAATTTAGTAAAAGTGACAATTGGGCAGCGAGAATGTAACGCGATTTTTTAACACGTAAGTTATGTAATTGTATTCGATTATGATTGGAAACAATAGATGAACCTTTCAACCTCTAATTTGAGTCATGCTCGGCACAATGAATATTCAAAAATCAGTTAACTCTCGCTTTCAACTTGGTCAGATGGTGAGGGCTTTTAGATTCTTTAGTCAAAAGGCACAAAAGACATTGTTGTGAACCTTTTGACTAAACGATCATAATCGATTGGTCAAGAAACGAAAAATATGTCGAATAATCGAAGAAATAAAACAGTCAAAACGTTGCGTAAATACAGCACCGGAAAGAGAATTTTTTTCCTAAAATTTACCCTAAAAATCATGTAATCGTGGCATTTTGAGCAACTTTATGAGAGTTTTTTCAAGTTTTATTGTACAGTTTACTAGTAAAATGTATACTAGCAAAAGTATAATTACTAGTAAAATGATAAAATTTCAGAAAACTCACATAAAGCTCTTCAAAATGCCATGCTGTCGCGCGATTACATAAGTTTCAGGATATATTTTAAGAGAAAATTTTCTCCGTGTATAAAACAACGTCAGTACAATTGAGATATAATATAACAATTAAAGAAGTCGAATAACGTTAACTGTGTCGACTGATAAACGCGCAATTGTCGTAAAAAGGAACGATAATTTACCATTAGATAAAAATTGGATCTACGCTAGATTAGAAGCTAATTATTATCGGATTGATTATGATTTACTAAAGGGAACTTTTTTAAAAAATCGGCCAGACTGGCAAAAATAATGATCTTTATTTTAGTCACGACGTTTCGACCTCTTTATCGGGTCTTTTTCAAGTACAATCTGGAAACATTACAAGTGCTCAAACCGCAATATAGAAAAAGAACACTTTAGTATGTACATAGCCGGAAAATACCTAAAGTTAACTGAACATTTTTATTTATGCCGAAACAAAATGGGTTCACGAGTCTGTTGCAGCAAAATCATAATATCATATCTGAAATTGTTACAAGTAAATAAATAGATAGTTATTTTTGTAGTTAGAGAAATGAATAAATTAATACATTAAGAGTAGGAGTAAAAAAACAGTCAAAGGAATTAGATAATAAGTTGAATAAATAAATGAATTGTTTAATAAGTTAAGAGTCAAAAGGTAAAAAGACGGGCTCATGGACTCACCGTGTCCCGGTAGTCAGTGGATTTACAATGGTGCTGTCAATTTCTAGAATTTCCAAGTAGCAACCGTTATACGTTTGCGCATCTCGAATAAAACTGATTAGCAAGTAAGCACAATATAAGGTGAAACAGCGAGTTAAACAGATTTTATAACTCTATCATATATTTAAGGA